CTTGCAGCAGCAGCACCTGAAACGCTTTTCACAGATGAGCCTATGAATTTCACTTCATCAACCTCCTAGATACAAAAACTCATGGACTCAATATAGACATTGGATTTATGACACACTACAAGCTATCTGACTCCCCATATACCTCCCCACTTCTGCCTGCTACATCCCCCTCCCACCCCCAGCCCGTCTCACCCCGATGCCTCAATTCACATTTTCACTGACTGGCTTCCTTGCATGCATTCCAGCCTCTGGCTTCTTTACTACTCATTCCATCCAGAAAGAGCGTACGTGTGTACACACACACACACACAAACACCCCCCCCCAAATGCCGATGCTTCCTCAGCCTTATAAAGGGTTTTTCAACCCAAAAGCTCGCTAAGATACATTTCTCCAGCCATTCAGTTGGTCTAATAAAAGATAAATCAGATTGACCCAAAGAACCGTGTCTACCCATGTCCTTAGACCAACATGGCTACAACCTACACACCTTAACACACACAAGTGGTACGAGTTTTGCTTTCAACAGTTTGAGTGGCACTTTCACAGAAAACCCTGCACCTATCTCTTTGAAACATGGCAGGCATTATGCCCTCAGAAGGGGCTGCAACCCCTGAAGTTTTCATCCAAATCTGCAAACAAATGACAAAATTATAGGTATTTTAGTGATTTCCCATTATAGTCTATGGCCAAATCACTGAATCAGTGCCAAATCTTTAGATCAGATTTAGCCAAATCGAATCGGGACACTGAATTGAATCACTAAATCGAATTACTGTCCCTCCAAATCAGAACTGAATACCTGCCGCTTCGCGCAGGCCTAGTGTTTATGCCACAAGCTGATCAACGACACTACAACTCATTTGTTCTAAAATAGTTTTACAAAAGACCACGATCACTCATAACTAAAATGTATAGGACATTTTTGCTTGAAATGCTCACTGTTAGAGGCTGCAATACCTCTAACAGCGTTATTTAACTTAAAGTACAAGAGCTCTTATAGAGCATAATATACTCTATTAACTAGTTATCTGTGCGTCATTTTTAATGCATCTATACTCTGTACTACTGTTTTGCAATACTGACAGTTTGCCATTTAGAAAATTAAAGTCCTCAATGTCATCTGTTGCATTTTTGTTTTATTTAAACTAGAGCAATTTACGAAAGAAAACAGGTGAGTGAGTCTTAGTAGCATTGGGTATTTGGCCAGTCACAAAATACAAAATCAAATATTGTCAAAGATTTTAAGCATTCCTTTATTAGAGAAATTAAGAGACTTTAATCTTCAGTAGGTTAGATATTAATCACAAAAAAATCCAAGTTAGTTGTAAAACAGTGACACTAAATTCTAAAAAAATATATACAATGATTTTTATCACTATCACCGTAAATGATATTCAAGACTGAACCATTTCCCTTGGTCATCTCAAAATATTCCAAAACAGTTGGACGTATCCACACTAAAATTGCAACCTCCTTGCCAAGATGCCTTTGAAAGAGCTGAGGCTGTGCAAAATAGGGCATGCCTGGATTATGCCTGGCTGATCCAGGCCTACTGAAACTGCCCTTTACAGCCACTGGCACAAATATGAACAGCCTTTACATTGTTCTTATTTGTGCTGGGGACTGAACAGGTGCTAGGGTGGTCATAAGTTTAGTAAAATGCAAAAATCACTTCAAGTCATTCATACCAGAATCTCTTTATCACTCTGCCAACAAAGTGAGATATTGCTAAGAGATGCTACTATTATTACAAAATAAAAAAGAAAGAAATTAAACACAACTAAACCATACATAGCAACTATAAAAGAAAAGTCAGTTTAAAATGCAGTTACACTAAGTGGGCAGCAGGTCACTTCTTCAAGCATTTTGCTGTTGTATTTGGAGATGCCCGAAATCACAGCAGATGGCCAGGAGAGGCATTTTTATATTGCTAGTTTTGGTTCACAGAGTAGCTCCTGAAGCCCCAGGTGGCCTAATGCAGCTAAGGGAAAGGAGACTGGAAGAATTCAGAGGAGCAGGGCAAAGAATACCTTCTAAACAGAGCGTGAGTGTGTGTACCTATATATGTATCCTGACTCCTGCAGGACTGAGGGGCAAGAAGTACAGTCCTCCTGCCCTTGCATCAAGCAGATGACCCCATGATACAATTAAAAAAAGGTAGGCCACCATCTACATAAGGGTATTCTTGGTTTTCAGAGGAATCTTTGACAATTTCTGACTACAGTCAAATAACAGGCTGTCAATTTGACCAGTCAGTTGACACTGGTAAATCACAGACATAATATGAGCCTGCAAGTGATACAGCTACACAAAAGGTGAATGAAGTTTTGGGATGCATCAACAGAAGCATCAGATGCAAGAAACAGGAGGTGACAGTACCGCTCTCAGCACTGGTTAGGCTTCATCCAGAGTACTTTGTGCAGTTTTAGGCTCCGCATTTTAAATAAAGAACATGGAGAAGTTAGAGAGGGTGCAGAGGCGGGCAACAAAGATGATAAAAGGGCTTGGAAAGCAACCCACACAAGGTAAGGCTGAAGAAACTAGGTGGATTCAGCTTGTGAAAAAGATGCTTAGCAGGGGACATAACAGCAGTCTTCAAATACCTAAATGGCTACCAAAACCCTCCCCAGAAAACACATTTTCTCAACTTCTGTTGAAGTTGCAGCATTCTGCCCTGCTGCAAGACATTAGTTTGCAAAGTAAGTTTAGATTGGATATCAGGAAAAACTTCTTCCCCATTAGAACAGGGAAGTTGTGGACTCGCCATCGTTGGAAGCGTTCAAGAGACTGGACAAACTCTGGATGGAGATGATATAGGTGTAATTATACTTATGTTTACTATGGGTCGTTCCCTTGCTTCTGGGCTTTGCTGGTTATTGCAAGGGGCTGGGAGGGAATTACTCCCCACGCCTTGTTGATATGTTATGGATTTTTTAAGCCTTCCTCAGAGGGGTGTTGGCTACAGCAAAGGCTGGGGATTTTGACAAGTGTGCCAGTGCTCCTGCGAGCATTTAAATCCAGACGTTCCTAGCTAGAGGGTCTTGCCCCTCTGCTCAGGGTCAGACTAGTTGCCATATATGGTGTCAGGAAGGAATTTTACCCCATGATCAGATTGGCATAGATTGTGGGGGCTTTAGCCTTCCTCTGTAGAGGGGGGAGCGACCCTCTCCCTGTGATGTCTAATGCATATTAACAACCTTTACAGAATCAGGACTTTGCAGCCCTATATCTCTATGATTCTATACTTACATGACTGATTAATTAACCAGCTTGTCAACCCTAGCCTCATAGTGACCCTTAATCAAAATATAAATATATTCTGTGTTTTTACTAAGGTCCTGTTTCTGCATTGTGAAGGCAGAGTACTGTATCAGGGTGGAGCACTAATTTTCAACAGGGCTACATCAGGTGTAGTACCCTGAGGAAAAATTATGGCCTAACATTTTTAGATTACCTATAATACAACAGGAACATGCATTAGTATAAACTGTATACCTTTACAGTGCCATTAAATATTTAATTAAGAGCATCTGTACTGTATTTCCCATTTCAGGAGGATATAGGCAACTAGGTTGTGTCTGGTCTTACCACCTGTACACAGAAATATCAGAGTCCTAAAGCTTTTTGAATTCCATGAGGATTTGGGAAAAACAGTACATTAATCAAAGCAAGAACTTTCCATTTCAGTATCAGCACACAAACACAACATACGCATATAGTTAATAATTTCAGGTCTAGCAGCAGGTACAAATGAAAATCTAACACAGTGTTGTATCATTTATGGCATACTGAATACTTAAGTACTACATGCTCCTTGTACAACTATTAAATATAACCAAGATCTTTCCTGTTCCCCCCTTCTGCTTTCCTTCCAATTAAAGTTTTTCCCCTGCTATCTGAAAAAAGCATCTTGTATAGAAGAATCATTGAGCTCAGACAGTATCTGGTCCAAATACTAGTACTTTTTCACAAACACAAGACTGAGACTGGTGTTGCCTGGGACTGTACTAGAAAGGAGTACACACCTCCTGGTCTATAAAGTTACGTGCTAGATTTTCCAGACTTTATATTCAGAATTATGTTACATACAAAAGAGTATGAGATCCACTTCCTTATGTCACAACAAACCTTTGTTTAACAAGATGTTGTAAGCATAACAATAATGGTCAAACTGTTGGTCTATATGTAATTATTTTAAGAAAAATAAGAAAAATAATAAATTCATAGGCTATGTATTTTTGTAAGATTAAAATTCTAAATAGTCAGCAAACTGTGAAACCATAATAGACCACTTACCTCATGTGCTAACATTTTATAGAGTTCTTCTTTAGTTACAGTAATTCTCTCTCTGTCTGTGCTGTCCACAACAACTATTACAAACTTAAAAAAAATGGTTAGTAAATATATGTATAGCTTGCATGTTTGAGGTGCACTAGCACTAAATTTCTCTCTCATAGGATCCATTGGGTTTATTCTACATCCACTCAGAACTACACATACAGCAGACAGTTTTCTGATGTGGGATACTGGAGGACACACTATGTATATAGTTCTAAGTGGAAGCAGAATAAATGAACCTTTCCAGAAACCAATTGTTTATGGATTTTAAATGTGTTTGCTGCCTTTTTAAGTATGTATACACATTTCCTAAAAAGCTGCTTTAAAATGACAGGCCATCTTTGTTAGGGTTGCATACACCTCTCATATCATACTGAAGCTTGTGTTAGGACAACAGAAAATTCAGGTACACACGTCTAACAACAGAGAAGTAGTCAGCCACGTTAGTTTGAAATCAGGCAGAGTTGACTAACTAGCAGACTAATTCAAGGATAGGTAAGCTTTCGTAAACAGCAGCTCACTTTGTCAAATACTATGAAAGGACTTGGGGAGTAGGTGTTCAAATAGAAAGATTAATTTAAATACAAAGGATGGGCACTGGGGGGAGGAAAAGAGAGAAGACACTGCTGAGAAGTAAAGATGGGTTGAACAGAAAAAAAAAAGCAGCAACCCCAACAGGGGTAAAGAGGTGAGGAGCGCTAACCAAGGCAATGAAATAAGAATCTGCAGTCAAGAACTTGCCGTCTCTGTTCAAACCAGGGGCAGGCAATTATGTCGGGCAGAGGGCCGCTTACCGAGTTTTGGCAAGCCATTGACAGCCGCATGACAGGCAGGCAGGGGAAGATAAATATTAAATTTCTAAATTTTTAGGGACCCTGCCAGATAGAATGGCCTGGCGGGCTACATCTGGCCCGCGGGCTGCATTTTGCCCGCCCCTAGTTTAGACCATACTTTACACAATCCAGACTGTGGATGATTTTTTGTTCTTCTTTTAAGTTGGTGAAAGTGATAATGTGGGTCTTTGTTGATGAGGGGGCACAGCTGGCATCTACATTTGTTGCCTTGGTAAGAACAGGAATTAAACAATCTTGACTACTACCATCACTGGACTGGGCTATCACCATAGGCCAATAACACTGATTATAACATCTGAGGTTAAGTCATCTGCTCTTCTATCAAATGTTATATATGCCATTATCTGCTCACAGTGCCTCTCTGCTGTTTACACTGGACAGATGGGGCAATCCCTACATGAAAGAATGAATGGACAACAATCCGGCACAGAGTCAAGACATATACAAACACCTGCGGCAGAACACTTTGAATTCCCTGGACACATTACCATTGACCTCAAAGTGGGTGTTCTTAACAACTACACTTGAACAAGAAGTTGTGAAAAATAAATCATCCACAGACAGTACACAGTGTGATCTAAACAGAGGCTACAGATTCTTATCCCATTACCTGTATTAGCTTTCTTAACTCTCTCTCTCTTATGGGTTTATTGCTTTGCTTTTCTCTTCAACCCACCTTTGCCCCTCTCAGCAGTGCCCTCTTTTTTTTCAAACCCTGTCCCTATCAGCTGTATTGAAATTACTTTCTACTTGAACTCCTGCTCCCTAAATCCTTTCACAGCATCTGATGAAGTGAGCTATTACATATAAAAGCATACGCGCATCTCTACACTAGTTAGCATGCAAGGTACAACTCTACCTGACATCTAAGAATGACAGACCAATTTAAACTGAAGTGATTTAAATTTCTATTTTAGTCATTATATAGATCAAAAAGTAGGAAACCTAGAATAGAAGTTATTATTTTAATCCCATTTTGCATTTACATTTTTTTTTTATTTTCCTGAAGAAAGTTTCAGTCTCACTGACTGAATTAATCATTAAAAACTGCCATATGCAGCTGAATATACCTTTTACAATAAGTCTGGTAGTTTTTCCTAACCTGAAAAATGATCTATAATAGACATGGCTGAAAGTTAAAAACTCTTTTCTGCAGTAAAACTGGAACTCTGTTGCAAGAAGTTAAACTCTGCTACAGGGGCAGTTATCATCACTAGGACCCAGAGACATACTAGCAGGGGTACAGAAAATACATTTTTGTGACCACTGAACAGGGTGGAGTGCGAAATCTGTTTCTGGAAACCTCTGGGAACAAACATTGTTTGCTAATTTTACTAAAAATCTCTCTGGATCTCAGTTCCACAGCTGTGAGCTTGGAATCTACTTTAGATCCGCTGCTTAAAGCAACCTAAAAAGGTGCTCTGAAGCCATGGGTCCCTGAGGCCTAGGTACCCCATAATACTTCTAGGGCACTGAATTCTGTAGCAGGCCATGCCCCTAAATTCCCTGACCCACCAGAAGCCCAGATTTGGCCTGCAGGCCATATATTTGACATTCCTGGTCTACAATATTCACAGACGAGAATAAAAAAGTTTCTTTCAATAAGGTATAAACTTTTACCTCTGTATTTGTATAGTAGGTGTTCCATGAAGATCGAAGTGATTCTTGTCCTCCAATGTCCCACATTAGAAAACGTGTGTTATTAACCACAAGCTCTTCTACATTACTCCCTATCGTAGGTGAAGTGTGCACCACTTCATTCATAGAACTGCAAAACAAAAGTAACTCAACAACAACTTGCATATGTCACGCTGGGAAAACAACTGTTGTCAATGTTCTCACTCTGTTAAGAATGTCAGGCCACAAAACTAGCCTACCTTTCATAAACTGAAATTCTGATGGCAGTCAGCACTTCAGTGGACATTCCCTGATGCAGCGAAAGGTGCACGTTATTTGTCTAACTTGCATTTAACTTTCACTGAACAGATTAGTAATGACACCATAAAGCTCAAAGGGTATTTTCTACAAGGTGTCTAATAGTTAAAAAAGTATTTCTAGGCTTAAAAAAAACAAAACAAAACAAAAACCCCAACAATACAGTCTCAGTCTGGGACAGAATCATTTTTTTTTCCATGTCTGATTTGTAAAGCTACTGAAAAAACAAGGATTTCTCCCCCCCCCCAATGATATCAACTTCTCTCTACTCCCTCAGCCATCATTGTACTTTTCTATAACCTTGGAAAAGTACATGAAAATGAGTATATCCAACACAGATGCACTGTATTGTCTTTGCTGTTTTCTATAATGAAATTTAAAATGTTGTTTTGATATACTCAGTATAATTACTGATGGATTTAGATACTGAGAGAACTAATGTTTTACATCAGAAGCGCTCTCTTGGAGTGTCCAAAACAAGTCTTTACAGTAAAACAAACCCATTTCAGTATGGTCCACACAAAACCGTTTTCAAAGAAAACAAAGTATTTTCAAGAACTTGTTTAAATTGCTGTTTTTCTCCATAAAGTGACAACTACACTTACAGAAATACCAAGAGTGAATCCAGGAATGAAACGGGCCAGGGATAATGTGAAAAGGAATACCAGATAACAGACCAGTTTCTGGGCTCACGTAATAAGCAATCATAGCACACATTTGCAAAAAAAAAAAAATAATTAATGAAATGAAAACTTGCAGATTATGAGGGGGTAGAACAAAGCTGGAAAACAATGAGGAAGATGACAGAGCAAGATACTGTTTGTTGAATCTGATTTTTAAATTCAGTTTAAGGAAGGACATACTCTAGTTTGAAATAAGCCACATTTAAAAGCTCTTCTAGCTGTCCGAGCTTGCAAGTTTTTGTACTCAGCTTGACAACATTTCTCTGTGTTCCCGTAACAAGATAACTTTTGAATGCTGCATCTCAAGTTTCTTGCTTCCTTCTAAGCATCAGTAACCACAACCCACTGATTTGACTAGAAAAAGAATGAGAAACCCAGAAGGCAAGATAAGGGATGTGAGGACCCTGTGCTATCTGTTGGCACCATTATAGCTTCAAACAAAGACAACTGTCAACAGCAGGGGCGGGCAATTATTTTGGGCAGAGGGTCGCTTACTGAGTTTTGGCAAGCCATTGAGGGCTGCATGACAGGTAGCCCAGGGCAGATAAATATTAATTTTTAAAATTTTTTAGGGGCCCCATGGGCTGGATAGAATGGTCTGGTGGGCCGCATCAGGCCCCCGGGTCGCATTTTGCCCACCCCCTGGTCTACGGATCAAAAAAAAAAAGTCTGATGGAATCATTCTACATCAGTAGTTCTCAACCTCATTAGACTCAAGGCACTCCTCAGAAAATGACAGCTCTTAGCTTTCAATCATTTTATGATTATGGAACAATAACAGAACAATTCTTCTGTCATAACTCAGACCACAACAGGTCAGAATGTTTTTGACACTATGAAGTCCTATTTAAAATCTATGGGCACATCCCCACAAGTGTGCACATGCGGGAGATCCCAGCGTTAAAAAAAAACTCACTACTAACAAAAGCAGCACAGCGCATGTGGCAGCAGTGCTCACCACCAGCAACTGGAGCCTGGCTGGCCAGAGTCACACTCCAGGCAGCCAGCTCAACGCCACTGCTGCCCCGGGAGGCCCCCAGCACCCCAGGTAAGGCTACTGGGGTCAGCAAAGATGCTGGGCCCAGCCTCCTCTACCACACCAGGGTCCTTTTGCCATGCCAGTGCAAATATGTGCCATAGTTATTTGTCCCACAGGAAATTAAAACCCCTGCAGAGAAGTTGTGAGTGCACAAAGACTTCAGAAGTAGGGAAAATGGGACAATCCTGAAATTGGGAGGGGGGGAGAGGGAAGGGAGGGGGGGGACAGAAAAATGTGAGCTTAGAGAGCCCTTTAAATGAAGGATCCAAAATCTGGAGAAAAAATGGTGAACAATGGAACAAAGTGCATAAGGGACACGCATCACCTGGCAAGGTGGAAGGAGGTTCTGGGGGCTGCAGAATTAGACAGACAGGGGGATGGAACACAGGGACCTTATGAAGGAAAACAGAGGGATAAGGAGTTCCTGTTATGAGTCTGGCAAGTGTACCTTTCTCAAATGTTCAGAAATATCTAGAGAGAGGAATGGGAGGGGAGAGGGAGGAAGTTTATTTTTGTTTTTCAACATTGGTTAGTTTAACACGTCTTAAATTTAAGCTGAGGATTAGAAAGTTAAATGCAGGTACACAACCATTAAGTTTTAGGCATGTTAATGACTTTGCACACTGGTAGCCCCTGTGACTTACACACAGTAAGTGTAATGAGGATCCTGAACTCTGATCAGCAAATGATCATACCTTTTGGTGGAGCATTGGTAACTATGAAATAGTAGAGTATATATTCATCTTATAGGCTACCTAAATAAGATAGCAACCAATGTGGTTGCACAAGAGGATTCTAAAAAGCCTCAAATGCAGAAGGAAGTATACAGGCAATTGAAGAATGGTCAGGTGATCAAGGAAGTGTACAAGGAAACAGCAAGAACCTACAGAGGCAAAATCAGGAAGGCAAAGATAGAGAACAAGCTGCACCTGGCAAAGGAAGTTAAGGTTCTATAAGTACGTTGGCCAGAAAAGAAGGGCCAAAGAAGCTGTGGGTCCTGTTAACAAGCCAGAGGGAACTCCTAAGGATGCAAAGACAATGACAGCTCAACAGATACTTTCCCTCAGTCTTCACAGAAAAATTACGCTGCAGCCAGACACCTAATAAGAATTATCTGGATAAGGAAAAGTAGACGCTGAGGGAGAAGATAACAAGAGACAGTCAGAATGAAATCACGTCAGCTTCACCCCAGGGTCCTGAAGAAACTGGCAGAGGAGTTCTGAGCCCTTGGCAATGATCTTCATGAAGTCATGGGAGATGGGCCAGGTATCAGAGGACTGGAAAAAGGCCATCATAGTGCCCCTCTTTACAAAGGCAAGGAGGAGGAGGACCCAGGGAACTACAGACCAGTTAGCTTCACCTCAATAACTGACAATTACTGGAGCTTATCCTAAGGAAACCCACTTGCAAGCATCTGAAGGAGAAAAGGTGGACTGCAGACAGCCAGCCTGGCTTTATGAAAAACAAATCACGTCAAACAAACTTGATCTTCTTCTTTGACAAAGTAACTACTTGGGTAGATGATGGAAATACGGTGGATATAGTGTATCTGGACTTCTGACAAGGTCCTGCATGACCTTCTCATAAACTAATTGGAGAAACGTGGGCAGGATAAAACTACTACAAGGTGGATCGGTAACTGGCTCAATGGCTACGAGCAACGGGTAATTAACAGGTCCACATCAGAACCTGTTGGCAGGAGGTTTCAAGCAGTCTCACAGGGGTCCATCCCAGACCTAGTGCTGTTCAATGTATTTATTAACAATTTGAATGCTGGCATAGAAAGCTGCTTGAGCAAGCCTGTGCACAACATGAAACTGGAAAGGACTGCAAACATGCTGAAGGCATGTAAGCGCAACTCAGAAGAATCTCAACAGATGGGAAAGTTGTGCTAGAGCAGGTTTGTCCAACACACAGCCCATGGGCCACCATGCGGCCCGCCAAGCCGTTTTCTGTGGCCCGCAGTGCTGCGACGGGAAATGAAAGTAAACACTGTTTACTTTTGTTCCCACCCCTTGTCCCTCCTCCAGCCCCTCAGCAGCTTCCTAACAGCTGCTGAAGGGCTGGGGAAGGGACAAGGTTCCCACACGCACCGTGTCAGCTTGACGTTACCAACGCGGTGCACATAGGAAAAGGAGTAGCTGTGTGCTGCTCAGGACAGGATGAGCCCAGCCGGAGCAGCAGGGGCTCAGCTGCACTTTCCCCCTACCTGTGCTGGTGGGTCCTGAGTGGCACACCACTCCGCTGCCACTTCTGTTGGCTGGTGCTGACCCGGGCGGGTCTGTCCCATGCGGAGCAGCACGCAGCTGAAGCCGGGTTCCCACATGCTGCTGGGGACGGGAGCAGCCTGGCCGGGTCGGCACCGGCCAGCAAAAGCGGCGTTGAAGCCGTGTGCCGCTCAGGACTGACCAGCGCAGGCAGGGGGAAAATGCAGCTCAGCCCCTGCCGCTCCAGCCGGGCTCGTCCCCTCCCAAGCAGCACACGGCTCTGCCGCCGCTTCTGCTGGCTGGTGCATACCCCGCCAGGATCCTCCTGTCCCCAGCAGCTCGCGGGAACCTGGCTTCAGCCGCATGCTGCTCCGGATGGGACACACCCTCCCGGGTCGGCACCAGCCAGCAGACACAGCAGCGGAACCATGTGCTGCTCAGGATGGGATGAGCCCAGCCAGAGCAGCAGGGGCCGAGCTGCCTTTTTCCCCTACCTGCGCCAGTCAGTCCCGAGAGGCACACGGCTCTGCCGCCACTTCTGCTGGCCAGTGCTGACCCAGCCAGACTCCTCCTGTCCCCAGCAGCTCGTGAGAACCTGGCTTCAGCCGCATGCTGCTCCGGATGGGACGGACCCAGCCAGGTCAGCACCAGCCAGGAAAAGTGGCATGCAGCTGAAGCTGGCTTCCCACATGCTACTGGGGATGGAAGGAGCCTGGCCAGGTCTGCACTGGCCAGCAGATTAGTATAACATGACAAGCCTATGGCTGGGGAGCGGTCAGGCTCCCTAGATCTGAGACCTGATGTAGGCTATGGCACGAAGACTCACTCTGGAACGTGCTAATAAACTTGTGTCTGTACCTGCCAGGAACCCAAGTAGCAGGTGGTTGATACCTGGTAAGCTCATGTGAGTAAAGACTCCTTATTGCTTTCTGTGTGGCCTTCAAAATGTTTTTATCCTACTAAAATATGCCATACTTTGTGAGAGTCATTGCCTCTGTATAAGAAAGCAGAATCACAGCCACTGAACTACATTTGTGCCCCATGGGAATAAATCACAATTCAGCAAAATGGGCAGGAAGAAAAAGCCAGAGTTCTAAGTGTGCATCCTAGAAGAGGCCATGAAAGAGTCAGAAGCACAACCTCAGAACCAGGACCGCTATCTGGTGACAGCAGTCCAGTAGGCATGATGGGAATCCTCTACTCTCATGAGATTTAGGAAAGCAAGAGGACATGAGAGCAACATGTAGGCAGAGACAGTGCAGGTCCTTGGAGACATGTTAATAAGTGAGGACAACTGTGTTCCCACTCTGGTCAGTGACTAATTGTGGGTACATCTTCACTAGCTTCAAGCCACTCAAACCTGCTGCCAAAAAATAAGCCCTTCCTACCCACTTACACTTTACCTGCTCTGAACTGGAAATGAGGCAGTGAGGGCCCTTCTAGGGTGGTCCAAGGACAGTAGAAGCAGATCACACACAGAGAGTGAGAGATGTTCCCAGAATGTCCTCATCACCACGTTTCTTCTGAAAAGCAGGGATATCCTGAGGTTCATTTAATGTTTGTAAAATGCTTGGAGAGCGCCACATAGATGCACTGCATAGAAATGCAAAATATATTTTGACTTACTTGGTTGGCAGCTTGGTCTGAGATTTTCAAAGCTGAGTCAAAAGGCCAACTTCCATTAAAATGAATGGGATTTAGATGACTCCAAATCTTTTACGACAACTTTGAAATGTGCCTATCTACCCCTTTTTGCAAATCTCAGCCACAGTTCGGAAGCTCAGCCAAAGAACATAAGAGCTTCTGAACATAAGAGCATAAAAAGTACCATGCTTGGTCAGCCCCTTGGTCCACTTAGCTCAGTATCCTGTCCTGAACAGTGGCACAGGTGGATGCTATAGAGGGAGAGTTTTGAACTGGTTAGACCCATTTCATTGTCACTTCCTGCAACTTCATTGGTGTCAAAGGTCATGTGGCATCACTTCCTGATGTGATACCACTTCCTGTGAGGTCTTCTTGCCGGCCCACTGGGTGATAAAAAGTTCATGATCTGGCCCCACATTCAAAAAGGTTGGACACCCCTGTAATAGAGCTAACAGGATGAATTCAAATGTGGACATATGAAAGGTGTTACACCTTGGGAGGAATAAAATGCAAATATAAAATAGGTGACACCTGGCTGAATCGCCAGCCTATGGAAGAAGACTTGAGAGTTTGGTAAATCACAGACTCAATATATATTGAGTGATGCAGCTGCACAAAAGGCAGATCCAGTTTTGGGGTGCATCAACAGAAGAATTAGGTGCAAGACACGGGAAGTAACAGTGCCTCTCTACTCTGCACTGGTTAGGTGTCATCTAGAGTACTGTGTGCAGTTCTGGACTCCACATTTTTACAAAAGGTATGGAGAAGTTAGAGGGGGTCCAGAAGCTGGCAACAAAGATGACAAGGGCTTGGAAGACAAGTCATACAAAGAGAGGCTGAAGGAGCTATGCATGTTCAGCTTACAAAAAGGCACTTAAGAGGGGACATGGTAGCAGTCTCCAAATACCTAAAGGGCTATCATAAAGAAGAGGGAAAGTTATCTTTTCTCTCTCACTGCAGAAAGGAGGATGTGGACCAATGGCTTGAAGTTGCAGTGAAGTAAATTTAGCTTGAATATCCAGAAAAATATCTTCACTGTTAGAACAGTGAGGCAGTGGAACAGGCTGTCTAGGAAACATTGGAGGTCTTCAAGGAAAGGTTGGATAGCCCAGGGGAGGCAACCACTGGCACACATGCCAGTGCATGCCAGGCAAAGGCATTTTGCTTGGCACTCACACCTCTGGGAAGGGACTGGGGCTGCACTGCCACAAGGATTGGGCCCTTCTCAGCTCCCCACCATCTGTCCCTGGCATGCCAACATCTTACAAGGCAAAGTTGTGGGTGTTTCTCTGCCCAAAAACACTGCCGACCCCTGGGGTAGCCACTGGTCAGGGATGATCTAGGCATATATGTTCTCCCAGGCATATTTCTCCGGCTTCTGGGCCTTGCTGGTTACCCTTGCTCACACCCCATCCCACCCCACTACACCCCCTTTTTGCTACATTTTAGGGTTTTTTTAAGCCTTCCTCAGAGGCACTGGGTGTTGGCTACAGTTAAGGCTGGGGCTTTTGACTGCAGTGTGCAAATGCTCCTGCTGGGACCAAAGTCAGAGGTTTCTGGCTAGAAGGTCTTGCCCCTCTGCTCAGGGTCAGAAATGAGTTTTACTCTGTGGTCAGACTGATATGGCCGGTGAGGGTTTTTGCCTTCCTCTCAAGAGAGGGCACGGCCCTCTACCTGGGATCTCTTGAGCATATGCTGACAACATTTCGTAGAAGCAGCGCTGGCTGCCATGGTTCTCCTGCTTTACCTGTGGCAGGTTAAGGTGTCATCATGTCTATGCTGTGTCAGGGTTGACACTAGTCTCACGCAGAGTTTACATTATAGTTTGTATGGGATCGTTTGGATAGGGATGATCCTGCCTCAGGTGGGAGTTGGACTGGATGGCCTCTAGGGGACCCTTCCCGCCCTTCTCAGCTTTTCTATTATTAGACAGCATAAACTTCTGTGAATCTGAGCTCACTTCATCAGATTCTGTGAAAAGGCAACATAGGGGGGTGGGGTGTCTGTGTGCGTCTCTCTCTCTCTCTAGTCAATAAGGAACATATCTACCCTGCCATCTGGTTGACTTCAGATTAACACAGCTAACTACCACTCTCAACTATAAAAATAATCCAGTAAAAAGAATACCTCCAAGCCCTGCTGACATATTACTGTCAACTGAGTATCTACCAGTCAGTACACAGAACTTCCCAATTTATGGGGGACAATCACCACCTACATTATGCCTTCATACTCAGCCTGCAGCTCTAAAAATAAGTTGGGGGTGGAGGGTGGGGATAAAGGAAGTAGAAATAAAGCCAGAGCAAGAAACTACGTCACAAAATATTTTAATATATTTTCAAAAATTTATACTTACAATTGATAAAGAATTGTAGTTTTTCCTGCATTATCCAGACCAACAATGATTACTTTGTGCTCTGAAATAAAAAAATCACTAGTAAATCACAATTACCAAAGCACTTATACACTTATTTAATACTTAGAGCATATCACTAAACAGATAATTCTATGCCAGCCTGCACATAGCTAGTCAGCATAACTAAAGAAAATCCAATTCTTAAATAAGACCAAACTCAAAACATAAGGCTCTCAACGGTCTTCAAAAATAAATAACAGGGTCCCTTCTGAAGTCTTTACACATTACTGCAATGTAATGAAAACATACAATAATTTAGAAACTAATTAGATTAGCAAAGAATGGAGCATAAAAAGAAAATCTCATTCTGGTTTATAATTTTAGAGAAAAGGGTAATTTCCACGGTAAAAAAGGTCTACTCATCTACTTGGTAGAGCAGTCAATTTCTGTCAAATAAAGAATATATCCCAAAGAATGTATTTTTCTCTGACTGTGCTACACCAGCCACTTCAATTAACGTAATTTGGGATAAGTGAACTGGTACTACATGAAACGTTTATTCACATAAGCAAATGTTTTTAAACCAGAAAACCTGAATTAATTAGTATTTAAATGTATTGACTTTTTTCCCACTTTTACAAGGCTATAAGCTGAATAATTGGTTTTCTAAAGTACATTTAGTCTGTTAGTGTACTGTACAGATGAGTGCTACTTATTATTGGCTGGACTGTACAACTTCTATTCACACAAATAGCATCACTGACTTCTGTGGAAATATTCATGAGATGAGCAAGTATAAAGTTGCCCAGGCCATTAAATGTACAGCCAAACTTCAGTCTGTGGCAGTAACTGCTTACATTAATAAAGCACAGATGCATTTGATTTTTTTACAAGGGGTCAGGTAAGTGCTTTTTGCTTTTTTTAAATTCAATATTGTGTGGTTTTGCAGAGTCGTTTATATCCCATAGGGTATAAGTTTAAGTTACAATAACTTTGCATAACTGCACAATATTGTAAAAACAGCTGCTTACCTGACCCCATATAAGGCTCTTTTGTTTCTGATAGCTGTTGCCAGCAGAGCTGCTACTAGGAAATCATGTGGAACAGCTCATCTATAGGGAGAATGGCTGATACAAACCTTAAAGACAACAAAAAAAAGGGTGTTTTAAAGTATTTGGCCAGAATGGTTATATAACACTGAATATGGGAACCATTCAGAGAGCATGTACACAATAGTTTATCTGAAAGTCAGCTTTATAGAAGACTTAATGTTTACTTAAACACAAGAATAGGTAACATAATATTTTACACCACATTACAGATCTCTTTCAAAAGTGGCATTGGAAACAATGTACTCACCATAAAATGAATTTCATTAGCACGCTAAGGTTTATCATTGGCTATCCATCACTAACAAAAATAAACACTGTAAACAACAAGACACAAGGGAGCATACAGTGCTCCACAACTGTAGCCTAGTTTTATGTATACTCTTGCCTTTGTAATTCAACCATTCAGAAGACTATTTAAAAGTGAGCTTGATACCAAATCATCAATAAACCCCCCCACCCCAAGCCATCAAAACCAGCCCCATAATGATGGCCTTAGGGAGCATAAGCCCCAAAACTGTCTTTTGAAGGCAAAGTTTAGCAGTCAAACTTCAGACTGCTTCTCTCCCTAATCAGAACTTTAGCTACGTTTCTGTCACAGTTCAGATACCATCGTTTGCTTCAATATTTATTTAAAGCAGAATGCAAATACCCTATTGATGTAATCAGCATGTTAAAATGAAAGAAAAAAACAACACACACAAGAGGCTTGCTATTGACAGAAACCTATATTGTACTGTAACCTATTTCAGATCGTTACATGCAGTGAGACAGAGACTGGCAAGATTAAACAGCAAGCTCCCCTCAACTGTAGCTTGTGGTGGCAAAAGTTGATTCCTGCTGAAGTGCGGGGAAAGCCTTTGGAGGGCAAAAGATCAATCACATTTTAAAAACCAAACAAGAAACAAAAGCAGAGTTTTAGGGGGGGAAAAAAGGGATTGCAAAATCCATGTCTGCTGCAGAGAGAACGAGATACCGACAGGCACAAAAGATATCCTTCCAGGCATGTGGGTGACAGTGCTCAATCCCCTCACTGCTTTCCCTCCTCAAGGGGCCCCTAAACGCAGCTGGCAAAGGAAACCACCCAACCCCGCATAGAATAAATCTTCTCAAGTATCCGGGGGGGAGGAAGGAAATCAGCCTGCAAAACACACCAGCGCGGCTCATCCAGGCTCCGCCAAGCCACCAACTAAAAAAGAACCCAGAAACAAGCCGGCAAAAGCGGCCCCGTAATGATGGCCTGAGGGAGCATCAGGCCAAACACTGCCCTGTGCCAACTAAATGATCTCCAGGCCCCGGGGCAGCAGCCTCCGCTCAGCACGGCAGGCCGCTGCCGCCACTCTCCTGCGGCGTCTTTCCTGCCAGCCCACGAAACACCAGCGCTCGTCCCCGGGAAGGGCCCTCGCCCGTCCGCCCACTCACCCTGGTGGTTGAACAGCCTCCATATCCTGGTGAAGAGGATGCCCATCCTCGGCCCGCTGCCGCCGCGGCCGCCACCGCGCCGGGGGCCCTGCCCGGCCAG